CTTTTTTTTTTTTTTTTTGAAACAAGGTCTTGCTATGTAGCTCTGGCTGTCCTGGCACTCAGTGCACAAGGCTGGCCTTTAGTTCACAGAGCTCCACCTGCTTCTGTGAGTGCCACCACACCTGGCTTTCTAGTTTTTAGAAACAATTTTCTTTTCTATTGTTTTTTCATTTTGATTACATTTTCCTCTCTCCTAGCAGACCCTCCCCTCCTCTCTTCCCACCCCCATTCACTTCCTTTCTTTTTCTCTCATTAGAAAACAAGCTGCCATTCATAAAACTGTAGTAAAGTAAAACAATATAAAATAAGAACAAATGAACCAGAATCAGACAAAAACAAACAAACAAACAAAAAAATAACCAAAGAAAAATCAAAAGAAACAGATACCGACACAGAGCCATACCTGTTTGTACATCCAGAAATCCCATAAAAATGCAGAACCGGGAATCATAATATATATGACCAGTAAGGTAAAAAAAGAAAATGCCCTGAAAACCATTATGACACTAAGAACCTCCAGAAAATTCCACTGGGTTCATTTTGTGTTCCTCATCTACTCCTGGGCATGGGGCCTGCCTTTAAGATTGGTTTGTATACCCAGTGAGACCCCATTGTAGAAAACCAGTTTTTCCTTTGCAAGTGGTTACCAATTGGAGCTATCTTCTGGGTGAAGGATGGGAATTGTGTCCATTTCCTCTCTGAGGGCAGGGGCCCTATCTGACTTAGGCCCTATGCGCGCTGCTACAGTCTGTGGGTTTATATGAGCACCATTCCTACGGTGTTTAGGAGGCCTTGTTTTCTTGATGTCCTCACTTTTAATCCTGTTTATCTATGTGGTCATGTTCAATAGTGCAATGCCTGTGGAAACCAGAAGGGGGCGTTAGAATCCCCTGAAGCTGTAGTTATAGGTAGTTGTGAATTGCTGGATATTGGCACATATTGACGTACTCCTAACTGCTGAGACATCTCTTCAGTCTTTAGTCCTCATCCTAAGAGAGAATAAAGGTTGTCAAGGTTGCCCTAGCCACCAGTTAAGACCTTATATGGGCATTCATGCCCTGCAGGGTGAGGTATACAGAAAATGTCCATCATAACTATTAAGTCAGGCACCTGAGTGTAACTAGTCTTTCTCCGAACTGCTGGCTCCCAAATAATGACATGGAGATTTCTTATTAATTATGAAAGCTCAGCCTATAGCCTAGGCTTATTCCAAATTAGCTCTTATCACTCAAATTAACCCATTTCTATTAACCTGTGTTCTGCCGTGTACCATCCATCCTGATTTTTTTTTTTTTTTATGTCTCTTGGCATCATCCCCAGTTCCTCTGTATGCCTGGAAGTCCCACCTATTTTCTCTGCATAGTTATTGGCTGTTTAGCTTTTTATTACACCAATCACACTAACACCTTCACACGTTATACAAATATCCCACAACACCTGAGGCTGCTGAATTAGAAGTTGAGCCAGCAAACACTGAAGAGCTCTGAGTTTCCTTCATGCCAATGGACATAGTTTATTTTTTCTCAGGGCTTATTTCTATTTTCTATGGTTGATCATGAAAGTCTACTGACACTGTGTTCAGTTTAGATGTCTTCCCAAGACCATCTGTAAGAACTTATGCATTTCCGGGAAGCCTGGTCATTTTTAGCAATTCTCCGTTTTCTTTGTGATTTAAGGAACCCTAGTATCAACTAAAAATCCAAAGCATTTTTGAAAATAGACTAAAATATTGTGGATGCTGTGTTCTGATTTGTTGGTGAGTGTGTTTATAAGCAGTTGGGAGCTTTACAACTGATTGATTGATTTCATACAGAAGAAAGGCTTCATTATCTTCATATCACAGAAACTGTGTATATCTCTTCTTTTCTAATCCTATTTTTCCCTTTCCTCTGGAGGTAACTCTTCTGCAGTCTTTCATGTTTTAATTGAAATATACATATTCCCATGAAAGCATTTTGTGAAAATATGAATCATGTATATTATTCTGAAAACTGCTTTTCTTACTCAATAGTACTTCATGGGATTTCCCAGTGTTATTTATCATAGCTTTATTTTACTTGTTAAAAATGATTACATGACATTCCAACATATGGGCATGTAAAATTGAGATAACTATTCCCCTGTGAAAGTTTTCCCTCCATTAGTAGTTTTTATCCTACTATGAACATGCCCCAATACATACATTTTAGAAACTGTTCTTATATATTACTGTTTCAACTTTGTTGGATAGGTATATCAAGTGAAGACAAATATCACAATGTATATTGAAATATTATTTTTCCTCTCTCTCTCTTTCTGTCTCTGTCTCTCTCTCTCTCTCTCTTTCTCTGTCTCTCTCTCTCATTTGTTTTGCTCCTAAGACAAAGTTTCTTGGTGTAGCCCTGGCTGTCCTGAAATTCACTATCTACACCAGATTGGCAGAGATCCACCTGCCTCTTCCTCCCAAATGCTGGGATTACAGGCGTGCACCACCAGGAGCAACTTTTTTTAGTCTTTTAAGAACACATTTACCTCACACACGATAAGCAAACACTCTACCACTGAGCTGTCTTCTAATCCATGAAATAAACTTTTTTATTTTAAAATAACTTTAGATTCATGGGGGATTTGCAAACAAAGCATAGAGAATTCTTTTGAATGTCTTGCCCAGCTTCCCCCAGTGTTAATTTTCCACTTAACCTTGATGCACTTGTCATAACTAAGAAAATACCGCTAAATAACTCCTACCAGATTTTTAGTTTCTCTATGAATAGTCTTTTTGTGACCAAGGAACAATTGAGACAATGCCCTGAGTTAGATGGTGTGCCTTGTTAGCCTTCTTCATCTCCGTTTCTTCCATGGCCTCGCTTTATTCAGTAAATCTAGTTCACCTTCATGTCAGGAGCGGGGAGCAGCCCCCTATTTCTCTTCTCTATGTGTTATTTGGAGATCACTGTAAGAAATCGTTCCTTCTCCAGCATTTTCCAGTCATTTATTTCAGAACACAATCATTTATACTGGCTTTGTTCTTTGGGTTATGAGTGTATGGTATAGATACATAATTTTTATCGCTTACATTGTTCTGACATTGGTCACTGACATCTTTCTGCTGGTTGTTGTCTTTATTTCTTCATTTTTTTTTTCCTGTTGTGAGGGATTAAACCCTGGTCTTCGAGCATGGAAGCCAGATGACCTACCACTAAGCTATAGTAAGCCCTTGCTAGTAATGCATTATGAATATTTTGTGTTCCTTTCTTTCTGTATTATACGGTGCTTCCGGTTGATCTTGGAATCCCACTGTCTCCATCTTTGAATTCACCGTTTTTCTAAGATAACTAGGTTTTGAATGTGGCTAATTATTGGTCTGAATGGGGTGCTGGAGCTGGGGTTGTTGCTTAGAGTCCGCCAACTGGCTATTCAATACTAAATAGTCCTTCCTGAAAACATACATACAAATAAGACTATATGGACTAAACAGGTTCTATTTATATATTTAAGAATATCTGTAAAAGCAGCAGTTAAAGAAAAAGGCCATGAATTTGAAAGTGAGAAAGGTGGAGTAAAGGGAAGAGTTTCAGAGGACGAAAAGGAAAAGGGAAATTATATAATTAAATAATAATTTCAAAACTACTTTTTCAAAAGAATGCTTCCTGTTTCCCAGAGCACCTGAGCTCCAAGGGTTTATTCACCTTTTCCTGTCTTCTGTAGGCACCTACACATGTGGAACACTTGCCTATTCTCTCTCTCTCTCTCTCTCTCTCTCTCTCTCTCTCTCTCTCTCTCTCTCACACACACACACACACACACACACAAATAAAAAATATATATTTAAATGGTGACAATTGTAGCACTACTGATACAAACCCAGAGACAGATGACAGATATTGAGGTTCAACCTGAAGGTCAAAAAAGCAAAACAGCCAGCCCCTGGCTCTTTCCTCTACCTCAGTCTGAAATGGCAGTCATGCCTCCACGAATCTCAGAATGAGACTGTGTGTGAGAGCTGTCTCCTCTCATTTTGTATTCTCTCTAGTGCTGGGATTAAAGGTGTGCACCACTACCGCCCGATTTCTATGCAAACTAGTGTGGCTACTGGGATTAAAGGTGTGTGTCACCCCTGCCTATTCTGTATGACTTGATGGAGGAAGGTCATTGGTTAATTAAAGAGGCTAGATAGAAATGGGCCAAGCAGTCTTTAACTGAATATAGTTTGTGTGTTGTTATTTCGGGCTTAAGCTAGCAGGCGGCTGGGGTGCTGGGGACACAGCCCCGCCGCTCTTATTTCAACAGTGACTGACCAGTGGAGCTGTTTTACTCTCTGATCTGCAGGCAAGCTTTATTTATTAAAACACAAATGAAATATCACTACACATGGCATACACTTAAATGGGAAAGACAGAAAGCCTAGAGGGGGCAAATTTGTGTCTCTCTTTATTCTTTCCTTTCTTTTTATTGCATTTGGTGGCATTTCAAATGGAAGAAGGCTGTTGGCCATTCGTGTAAAACTGTGGACTAGATTATAAGGTGCCTGCTACTCTCAAGGTCATGGTCCACATCTGGTCTAGAACTCTGATCTGACTTCTTCAGGTGTATTTACAAATGGTACTATTTAAAGACATGGTGCTAGATATGGTTTCTTATGATGGGGTTAGAAAAGAACTCATGACTAAATCTGCTAAAGGGGTAAAATCAAACAAAGGCTGAGAAAAGATGGTAAGTGAAGAGAATGTGCAGCCGATCGGGGAGCCATTAGAAGTCTGAGGCGGTAGTTTAAGTTATGCCAGGAACTCAAGGACCTTTGGTATCTCTGCTTCCAATCCTCTCTTTAGCTACTGGGATGGGGAGAAAGCTGTCGTTAGCTAAGGCTACTCTTGCTGCTGCTGCCCCTGCTTCTGCTAAGAGATCTGGGAGGTGAGGCAGGAGAGTCCCCAAAGTACTTGTAGTCAGTTTTACTCCTTGAACATAGAATGCTGTGTAACATTGAAACATGGTTTCTTTCTTTCTTTCTTTTTTTTTTTAAAGAAAAAAGTAAGAAGATATCAACAGACTGAAAAGGTATATTCAGAAGCATAGACTCTTGGGAGGACACTGCAGTTCATGAGGCCACAAGGTGAGGTGACTCCCTTATTACTCTTGTCATGCTTTCAAGTATCTGATGCGACTCTGTAATTGTCTCAGGTTATGATTGGTAATGTGTAATTGGAGAAGCAAAATGTTCTTACTTAAAATACATATTTTTAACCATGTGTCTTGGGGTCTTTGAAAGGTTATCCAGAACAGAATTATAATATTTGGTTCCATTAGGGGTGATTTAAAAATGTATATCTTTTACTAGGGAATGCTGCTTCTTGTAAGTCTCTCACTTTTAGAAGGTAGCGAAATCCTCAGGAAAATAAACATGAGGCATGTCTGTTCACTTTATTTCTTATGACCAAAACAGCCAGGCATAATGATGCGGACATTCCATCCCAGCATTTGGGAGGCAGAGACTGATGGCTCTCTAGGAGTCCAGGGTTATATAGTGAGAGCTAATTTCACAAACTTTACATTTCAGTTAAAACAAAAAACAAACAACCTACACTTTCTAAAAGAAAGGAAGGAAGGAAGGAAGGAAGGAAGGAAGGAAGGAAGGAAGGAATGAAGGAAGGAAGGAATAAGGGGAACATTTAAGAAGAGGTAGAGGGTGGGTGCATCTGGGAGGAATCATGGGGAGGAGTTGGAAACAAATGTGATCAAGTTACCCTGAATGACATTCTTAAGAAATTCTATACATACATATGCTTAGATGTGTGTATGTGTAAATATACATATATATTATACATAAGTGAATGCATTCTCTGACTTCCTTAAACGTTTAAGAATCACTTTTGTGAAGAATATTTGCCAGCTATGAAATGATGATTCGTTTGAATGGTCAAAAATATCCTGGGGTGGTGGAGGGGGGTGGCGGTCACGTCTAACATGTAAGACGGGTAAAGAAAAACAAGCTAAGCTAAGCTAAGCTGTTGTTTAAGAGCTTGTTAAAATAATGGATGTAAACTATGCATTGAGAAGTTAAGATTATAGTGAGGGCTAAAGTTCACAATCATGGGATCCTCTTAAATAGTAGATTTCTTCCTCATTGGTATTGTGAGACAAGTTGTCATTGATCACAGTTTTAAATGAAAAGGGTTGACAGACTTTTATGTTGATTTGGTCAAGCCTGTCTTCAGCCTGGCTTTTCTTATGCATCTAAGAGTTGGTTCACTTATTTAGGATTTACCTTACGTAAATCAGTGGATTAAATGCCTTAGTTTTTGAAAATGAGTAAGCTATGGTCTTTGTGACCAACATTTCTCCAATGAATATGTTACCCAGAGCTAATTTTTATTATTAATTCAATACATTATTTAAGAAGAAAGTCAAGAAAGTCTAGATTGTATAAGGGTATGCAGTGAATTCTAAAGCCAACTGGGGACTATCTGGGGTAGTCCTGATTTGTTATCATGCCTTGCCTCAGCCTAGAAAAGCAAGAGTCTGTATCAGAAGAGCCTTGCTCTGTCTCAGCTCACACCCAAAGCTTGTTTTCCAGCCTGACTCTGTAGCTCGTTAGGTGCGGCATATAGAAGAATTTAGTCTAAGGCAGAAGAGGTTCCCTGATCACAATTGCAAATTGAGTGTTGTGGAAAATAGTTATGCAAACACCTATGAAAATAACAGAGGTAGCCCCACCCACTCACCTTTTTGCCTTATTTGCGTTCATTTTATTACCCTCGCTAGGGACTCAACTCATTTCCTGGTGACTGAGAGGAGCTAGCAGGGGGAGGTGGGATGCTGTGAGCTCCTAAGGGTCTTAGGCAGATTACAGCTGAGTGAGTTGCGAGCCTGAAACTTTGTCAAGAAAGTTGTTTTCTGTTTTTGTTTTTCTAAATTTAAGCAGTCAAATAACTGAAAGCAATAAACTTTGCAAAGGTGCAGGGAGGCCAGGTGTGGTGGTGCCTACTTTAAGCCTTTAATTTGCTCTTCAGGAGGTGGACGCAGGTGGCTCTCGGCAAGTTTGAGGCCAGCCTGGTCTGTATCACAGGTTCTAGGACAGTCAGAGCAACTTGGAGGGATGCTGACTTGACAAACAGAACAAGAAACAAAGAGAGTCAATGAAAATGCCCCACACCCTGTTTTATCATTAGAAAAGTAGTTCCATTCATTCATATTGTTATTCCTTTGGTCCACTTTTAAAAAACAACACATATACTAATTGTAACCATTCAATTGTTGTGCTAAGTTTGTGCCTGGAAGTGGAGAAGGTCCACCAATGTGCTCGCCTTAGTGAAATCCCATGGTCGTGGGAGATAATATAGGTAATGAGTGATGTAGTGATGTCTTAGGTTTGGTGGTATGACTGCCATGGAGAGAAATTAAAGGAGAATACAGGTTCTCTTTAACGATAATCAGGTTGGGAATTTTCCTACACGATGTTTTGCTTTGAACACATGAGTGTGAAGATGTGTAAGGCCCAGGTGTTTTTTCCCCCCATTTTTCATATCCTGTCATAACTAGAGAGGAGCCCATCACATTAACTGACATCCTAAAAATCTGTCAGTCTTAACTAAACTGGATACGATTGAAAAACTTATGCAATTTTGTGTGTAGAGAACTATAAATCAAGTGATTTTACTTCAGGTAAACATGATGGGAAAATGTCATTACTCAAGACAGACTGGATTACAAAATCTCAAAACTGTGCCTGGAGTGGCGCACATTTGATCTCCTTGCTTCTCAGGGAAGTCTAGTAACTGAAAACAGTAGACATTATAAAAGTCAAGATGGCCAGGCGTGCTGATGGAGTCACGAGGTACAGAAACTCCAGGATATCCCCATCTATTGGTGAATTCTAGAAGGAGTTTGGGTCAGAATAACAAAAACAGCAACAGCAATAACAATAAATAAAAACCCAAATGGGTTTCCAAAACAGCTTAGGGTAACAGTTCCTGAGTCTCCCGAATGACACGTATCTAACCATCGTATCAACTGAGGAAATTAAGATGCCGGCATTGTAGCAGTCAAAGGGTCACAGGGTGAGCGCCATGTTTGTTTAGTAGCTATTTGAATCAGTCTATGGTCGATAGTGTTTATTCCACGCCATAGAGAGCATTAATGGCCGGCTCTAGGAGCTGACCACAAAGGCAACCTTTATCTGTTTTAGAAAACCAAAATTATGGGGGAGGGGGGGACGGTGTGCAAGGCAGAGGGCTGTTAGGAACTTAGAAAGAAACGGAAGATTTCTTGTGCAATCTCAGTGTGTTGGATCATGGATTTATTTCAAGCCTTTCCTTCATTCATATATGAAAACTTTTACTTAAGGCTACCTAAGGCGTGACTTTGCCAAAGCAAATGTGTCCTCCTCGATTCTTTTGATTTCATCTTCCCCAAATTTGCTTTACAAATTTGCTCTCCCCGGAATCCTTCTCAAACACGTAGCATGACTCTGGCTCCCTGCAGAGTCTCCCTGCTTCTCACAGACCTGCTCTGCATTCACTCGGCTCAATCTGGCATCACCTGGTGTGGTCCTGCTGTGGGCCAACTTTCTCTTCTCAGGTCACGCCATTCTCTGCAATTATCCAAATGCTTTTTCTGGTCTTGTTCTTTTGTAATGCTGATAAAGATTTAACCTAATCCACAGTACTCAACCTCTGCACTGTTAACACGGTTGATGGAATTCTATGCGTTATGGGATGTGCCTATGGCGCCCCACTGGTATCCTCCTCTATAACGTGGCCCATGGTCTCACTGAATCAAAATAATCTGTGTCTGGAAATCACTAATCAAATGTGAACATCCAGATCCTCCAAGCCTTTATCTACCCCACACAGAAAGCCTCTCAGGGGACCAGGACTGCTGTTTGACCACTTGTAGTTTTTAAATTTCTTTATTGGCTTCTTCCAAATTTTTGTATTTATAATATGATTTATAAAATGGTAAGCCTGAACATAAAAAGGGTGGGGAAATTAAGATAAAGAAGGAATCAGGTAATGCTTGTATTCTCCTCCCCGATGTTTTTATCACTCGGTGAAAATTCCAGTGCCTTTGGGCTTTCCATACTTTTTCCCAGGCAGATCCGGATTTTGCACGGGTACCGGTGCCTGGCTCCCCTTTGCTCTCTGGCTTGTTCTTAAACAGAGCATATGACCTTGAACCCACACTACTGCCGCTCCCTCCTGCCCTTACAGGACGGGAGCAAGCCAGACACCCCCTGAGCCAAGTCTGCTCTTTAACCGGAGTTAGTCCCTGAACAGCAGTCAGTAATCCCTCCCCATGACTGTGGGCTGACACCTTCAGAACTGTCACCCGGCTCAAGCCACAGAATCTCTCGCCTTCACTCAGTGCCCCTACTATTTTAACGAGAAAATTGAGGTCACTGTGCGGAAATGACTTGTGAATCCTTGCAATTTCTTCTCTATAAACATTTGTATTTTCCTCCAATCTCCAAGTAGGATCAGTCCTTTCTGCTATTCAGGCCAAGCCTGGGTTTGATTCTCTTTTCCCCGGGCTGAGACCTTTTGCCACCCATTATCTCTGTCTGTCCTTTATCTTCAACCTTGTCGCCACTGCTGATTCTCTTTCTCTGCCTACTAGATTCTGTAGACTTCCATCCAGAAACCAAACAAAAACAAACTGATCCCTCCCTCCCTCACTGCCTCCGCATTCTATCTCTCTCCTTCCTAATACATCTGAACTCTGAAGCAGCAGGCTTCATTCATTTTCCCTTGTCTCCAAGAGTGAGTCAGTCCTCAGCCCTGGGCCATCTGATTTCTAACCCCATTTAACAGAGCATGCCCGCTCTAAAGGCATACACGCCCTACAGCCTTTATCTTGTCCGGCTCTCAGGCTTTTGACAGTATTAACTCCATTTTTCTTCTATTCTCTAGGCTGCTGTTTCTCCCTTCCTTTGTTTCTCTTTGATCTCTTAGGGATCTTTTTGTAAAGGTCTGTTCCCTAGCTTCCTATTTGTTAGATCTTCCTTCTAGAAGTAATGAATCACAAACCCAAGCACCAGAAGATGGTTACAGGTACAGGTAAAATAAGCGAGTTCAGTTGGCTAACTGAAAACAATAAACACTATTGGGTTTAAAAAA